GCCTTCCGGATGATAACCGGAAGTAAGTGAAGGCGCATATCTAGGGCTTTGCCGAGTGAGCGGAAGAAGTGAGACACAAACTCCGAGCCCTGATCAGAGGTGACGTGCGAGGGAACTCCGTGCTTGGAGAATACATGGAGGATGAAGAGGTCCGCGAGTTCCGGAGCGGTAAGGGTGTCGTGCGTAGGTATGAAAATGGACTGCTTGGTGAGGCGGTCGACTACGACGAGGATGGCGGTGAAACCATCAGAGTCCGGAAGCTGCTCAATGAGATCCATGGAGATGGAGTTCCAGGGTCGCTCGGGGATGGGAGTTGTTTGAGCGTGCCATAGGAAGTGACGGGGAACTTTGGCTCGTGCACAGATGGTGCAGGACTTGCAGTAGTTCTGACGAAGAGCGGAGTCCAGGCCAGGAATAGTCCCGGAGTATGAGGGCTTGGTCTTGTTCTGACCGTAGTGTCCAGTGGTCGGATGGTCTGACGGATCGGAGTACCGGAGACGGAGATCGTCCAGTCCGGTAGTAGATGTGACCACTAAGACGCAGGAAACCTTCTTCGTCGATGGACCAGCGTGCGTTGTCACCCTGAGAGCCAGAGCGAGTCCGGCAGCAGCTCGAGTAGGGAGGATGGACTGGCAGTCCGGATGTCGGAATGGAGAGATGTTCGTCGTGGATGAGGGATGCGCGAGGACTGGATCTCAGAGAATGGTTGCCCGGAGGAGGAGCGAGTGTCCTGGTGAAACAGGTCGGAAGTTTGTGGGTTGACAACGGAGTAGTCACTATCCCCCTCTTTTGGGTAGACTCCCAACGGCGGTGAGTGCGTCGGGTTTGCTTCCAGTTTTCCGGGGCGGAATCGATTATCATGTTGAACTGCGAAGGAACTCCGACCAACGCGCTTGACGACGCGTCAGGAGTTTTGTGGTAGCGAAATATCGAGGTTCTTGTGGTCCGTGACAACGTCGACCGGAGATTGGAACCTTCGAGATAGTGCCGCCATGTTTGAAGCTTCGAAATAGCCAACAGTTCCTTATGTGGTGTCGTAGTTCAGTTCCGCGCCAGTCAAAGTCGAGAGTGAAAAGCGATGGGGTGGATTTCACCGGAGTCCGCCGTAATGGACAGTATTCCGGCAATCGCATAGTCCGACCGTCGGTCTCGACGGTGATCTGCTTGTCGGGGATCCAGTGGTGCAGGATCGGAGCGTGGTGAAGGCCTGCTTCAGCTCGTCAACGCCTTACGGCAGTCCTCGGAGAAGTTCCAGGCAACGGATTTCCGGGTGAGTCGGCTAAGCGGTAGGACATTTCGGAGTAGTTGTGATGAACCGGCGGTAGAAATTGCGAACCGAAACATTGAACATCTCGGACTTTGCGGGGTTCCGGCCAGTCCAGATCACCTTGACCTTGACTCAGCCATGGTTAGCTGTCAGTGGAGAGGATGTACCTGAGGTACTCGACGGAGTGGCGTGGAATTCGCACTTGTCCGCGCGAGCGTAGAGGTGATGCTTTCGGAGATGTCGGAGTACTTCCTTGACGTGTTCCGGTGGTCCTTGGGGTTATCGGAATAGATGAGAATGTCGTCGAGATAGACCACAACGTGGACGTCGAGTAGGTCGGAAAAGATCTCGTTGACGAAACGCTGGAACGCCGCCGGGGCGTTGGAAAGTCCGAAAGGCATGACTTGCCATTCAAAAGATCTGTATCGAGTTCGGAACGCGGTCTTCCACTCATCTCCCGGAGCAATCCGGACAAGGTTGTAGGCATGTCGGAGGTCAATCTTGGTATAGATTCTGGCCTTCCGAGGACTGTCCAGGAGGTCGGAGATGAGGGGAAGGGGGTAGCGGTCCTTCCGAGTGATCTTATTCAAACCTCGGTAGTTGACACAGAGACGAAGCAACCATCTTTCTTCTTGACGAAGAGTACTGGAGCTCCGCACGGAGAATTGGAAGGTCAGATGAAGCCGGAGCGAAGATTCTCGTCGATGTATTCTCGGAGAGTGTCGAGCTCTAGCTTGGACAAGGAATAGATAGGTCCGAGGGGTGGAACAGCGCTGTCCTCAACAGTGATTTTGAGGTCATACGGGTGGTGTTCTGGTAAGATATCTGCCTTGGTCTTGCTGAAGACATCCGCAAACTCGTGGTACTCCTCCGGTATTCCGGTGAGGTCCGGAGGCAAGTCGGAGACAGATGAGCTGCGAGCAGAGGTTGAATTGACGGCCAGATTGAGCGAATAGCTTGTGGATCCGGCAAGCTTGCAGGCCCTAGAGAACGCCACAGCGTTTACAAGAGATACCTGCGGAGCAGTACGCGGAGCAGACGGAGGATCCGGTAAAGGATCCGGAGGGGTCGGAGTTGGTACCGGGTCAGATACGGGACGAGTTGGAGGTGCGGTTCGGAATTGGATGCTGTGCTTCTTCCAATCAATCAACGGATTGTAGGCGGAGAGCCAGCTGTATCCCAGGACGGCGGAGACCGACTTATCGAGCGGAGTGACGTAGAAGTCGACAGAGAGAACTTCCCCGGAGGGAAAGTGGAGCGGAATCGAGGCGGTCCGAGTGATAGTCTCGTTGGATGTGCCGTTGAAAAGCTGCAGGCGGAGCGGAGTAACAGGCGAGGTAACAAGATGGTATTTCTCTGCGAAGTCCGAATCTACAAAGCAATTCGAAGATCCGGAATCGACAAGAGCACGGAAAGGTGATGTTACAGAGTCGGAGAACAATTCAATCATGAGGGACGTGGGGTCGGAAAGAGCGGACACGTTGAGTCGAAGAACCTGTTCCGCGCGGGTTTTGTCAACGCAGTCCCCACCACGCGCGGAGGTCGGAGGACTGCGGACTAATTTTTTGACTCCTTCGGAGCCTCTGGAGTCGTCGTCGGAGTTGCATCGGCAGCACGACCTTTAGCAGCGGACGACGTCTTCTTCGGACAGGCGTTGGCAGTATGTCCGGCGCCGCCGCAGAAGAGGCAAAGGTTGTTATTGAAGTGTCGCTGACGCTCCTCCTGCGTCAACTTGCCTTCCTTGCCCAGCTTGTCGGAGTACGGCTTAGCGGGGCTTTAGACTGCGCCTTTGGAGTAGACGAAGTCGACGACTTGGACGGAGTAGAGGAGGTTGCGTTCTGCGAGCCGGAGGAACCGGACTTTGCGGGTTGTGACGCCTTGGAGTCGGATTTGGAGTCGGATAACTTCTGGCTGGACTTGTGAGAGCCCGGGGATTCCCGTGACTGTTCAGCCTTGCGCTCCCAGTAACGATGATCGAGCGCTTGGGCCAGGTTTCGGAGCTCCTCCAGAGTGGAGGGTTTTCCGACTTCAGAGATGCGGTCCTTAAGACGGGCCGGAAGTCCCTTGTAGAACTGATAGCGGAGTGCAGACGTGCCCCAACGAACCTGTGTCGCGAGACGGCTGAAGTTGGTGATGTACTTCGCGATCCGGTGGTTGTCGGACATGGAGAGATTTACGAGGTCATGTTCTGCTTGTCCGGTAGCGTCATATGGACCGAAATTGATTTGGAGTTCTTGTTGGAACTCCTCGTAATCCGTCAGGAACAAGGGCGGAGAAGATGAGGCTTGTTCCAGAAGGTATGGCTCGAACCATTGGAGAGCCGTGCCCTTTAGGTAGGAGACGGCGTACGTGACCTTCTTCTCGTCGGAGTTGAAGGTCTGAGGACGAGCTTTGAAGACCAACTCCAACTGGGTGAAGAACGACCAGAGTTTGGTTGAGGAGTCCGAACCGTCAAACTGGTCCGGATCCCGGACGTTATTCCGCTCGCGTGAAGAGGGTTGCATCGGAGTGGAAGCTTGTCGCTGGAGCGTGGTAGCCAGGAGCGAGATTGCCCCGGCGAGCTCATGGTTGATGTCTGGACCAGTTGGAGGCGGATTACGCTGAGGTGACGGAAGCATAGAAGGAGGTAGAGGAACCAACTCCGGAAGTATCGGAGAGTGTTCTGGAATCGGGTGTGGTGGCCAGTTTATTGGTCCGCCCGGACTGTAAGTTGGGTTTGCTGCTCCTTCACGGAAAGCAGGATCCTCAAACGGATTGTGGCTGGTACGACGAGACGAGGGAACCGGAGAACGGGTAATGGTATCCGGTGGAATTATCGCTGTCGTGCCTTGAACGGTAGGTGTCACCGGCGCAGCCCGGGTGGGTGTGCTTGGAGTAAGGTTGTTGGCCAACAGAACGTGGATACGTCGAGCGGAGAACCCGCAGAAATCGTCGGTCATCTCAAGGTCCCAAGAGTCAGTTCGAATATACTGTTACGATCGTGCGCTCGAGACGAAGTCCGAGGTCGGAGTTACGAAGTCCGGAGTTTCGGAGCGCAGTGGAGTGAGGACTTGGCGAAGCTATTAACAACGCCCTTGGGAGAACTTGACGAGGTCCTCTATTTGGACTTGGACAGAGGTGGACTATGACGGAGTCTGGAGATAGAGTCGGAGGAAGGAGGAGGAGAAGACGAGAGCGAGAGAGAGAAGAGAGAAGCTAGACAGAGGTCGGACGGAAGTCCGGAGTTCAGACAGGAGTTCGGAGGAAAGGAATTCGGATTGGTTAAACGAGATATTCGAACTGAAGTACAACAGTGCTACAGTTCAATCTTTATATACAGCGAGTCTAATTGTGAACGGAAGACAATAGGACGGAGGAAGGGATACAGAGAACAATAACGGAAGACCGGAGATGTTAGTAACCAGAGTGAATACAATAAGCTAATTGTCCGTGCAAGATAGAGACCATGTGGTACGCTAATTGTAGTGCGGGAGAAGATAGGCTAAGCAAATACAATAAGACCGGAGTTCGGAGAAACAGAGATGGAGAAAACAGAACTGGAGTTCGGAGGTGGTCTTGGTGGCACGGAACGTGACAGACACCCAGAGCATCAAAGATCCACATGCCCGTGCCCGACAAGCCCTCTCTGTCCATCCTTAGAGGAGTTGAGCCTCAAGCTATGTCCACGCCCTGGCGACCCTCCTCTGAGTCTAAGAACAAACAAAGCTCACTGAGCCCGCCTTCCTCTTCAGATATGTGTCAAGCCGCCAAAGAGGCTGTTGACCCCATCCATCTTCAGGATCTGCTCGACAATGCCGGTCTATTCTTTGCCCATCTCCGTCGCCCCGAGGAAGCCCAATGCATCTACCTGAGCCTTAGCGCTCCAGACACTCTCGACCGCTACGGCTTTCTATTCTATGAAAGCAACTACCTAGTGAATGAAGAACTCGAGATGGATGACATCCACAACTCCAAAATTGTAGAAGACAAGGAGTCCTGCTACAGCCTACTGGTTAAGCATCAACGTCGCACTGAGTACGTCGTAGAAGGGCTTGAAGTCCTGGTGAACGCTATGCTTTGATTGGAGAGTGCAACTCGTCGATGGAAGTCTGACCACACCGACGTCTAGATGAGTGCACTGCATGAGTCCTCTTCAAGAGGAATGGTCTCCAATGCACACCAAACCCTTCAATACCACGTGGCAAAAGCACTTACCTTGATCCATCAACAACAAGCTCTGCATTGCAGACACCCGTACCCTACCTCAGTCAAGTTGACTGCTTCAGATTTCAGCATGGAGCTTACTATGTCCAAGACCAAGCGTGAAATGCTCAACAAGTGGCTGAAGAAGCCCAATGTATACTTGAACCTAACCCCGGAATACCAAGAAGTTGTACTTCGGCAGATTCAGGCCGCTCAGAACGACGAGGAGACACCACCTCTACCTCACATCGTGTTCGAGCGACACTTCAAGATCCTACCGAACTCCCTCCTGGTGGATCCAATAGTGCACAACACATCTATCTCGCAGGACGTACAGTTAGTGTTTGAAAGTCCAGTCCATGGACTGGAAAAAGACTGGGACTGAACTGGGACTGGCCTTGGAAAGACTGGACTGGACTGGTCAAAGTAGGACTGGTCTTACCCAGTCCAGTTGCAGTCTTCCAGGGTTGGGGAAATTGGAGGGACTGGTCAAAAGACTGGTTGCAACCAGTTGCGACTGGTCTTTGGCCACCCCCCTAATATGCTGGTGTACATGGCCAAATGGAAGGTTTTGGGGGTCATAAATAGCAGTAATACATAGGATATGCACAACATGGTGGACATATTAATGATGTAACCTATTTAGGCAACATGTATTTTCCATCTATGCACCTCCACTTATGCCTAATATGGTAGGTGTACCTGTCTCACCCTTACTGACATCACATGCCTTGCCTGTATCAGTCATTATGGACTGAAATATGATGCTCCCATGGGATACACACTATTGCCTACCATTATATACCATATTACAATAGTACAAAAAGCTTTGTAACCAAACATGCAGACATAATTGCTGAACAAACCAGTTACAACTGGCAAAAGACCTGTCAGGACCAGTTGGGACCAGTTGGGACTGCATGTGCAGTTGCGACCAGTTGCGACCAGTCTTTGGAGGCAACTGGACTGCAAAGGACTGGTCGCAGTCAGTCCAGTCCCAGTCCTACCATTTTGGGGTCAATCTAGGACCAGTCGCAGTCGCAGTCTTTCCTCTGAGGGGTCAAAAGACTGGACTGGACTGGACTTTCAAACACTAACCGCGAGCACACGCGTAGCCGGGAGAACGAGCAGGATGAAGATAGGGCGCGGACCAACACCACAAGCACACCGACCGCGAGCGCACCGGGCTAATGCCCAGCACGCAGAGACAGCCGATGAACGGCGGGTGGGCACGCAAAGGATGGGCAAGGGTGCGGGCGGACGGCACGTGCAGGCGGGAAGCAGGCGGACACGAGCAAGCATCACCCACTCACCCACCCATTTGCTCGCACACCCGCTCACGGACCCGCAGACTTGCTGTACCCACATGAGACCCGTACCCGCTGTACCCGCATGAGACCCATACCCGCTGCGAGGGTATGGTACCCGGGCGGGTACGGGTACGGGTAAGCCCCCGGACACCCGGGGGTTTACCCCTGCAATCCACTACTACGTGTTCATTCCGAGTCCCCTGCATCGTGGGACAAGTTCACCACCCTCCTCCGACCACATTACAGTGTCTCCACGAGTATCTGACCTCGTACGTCCCCTCCGGAGCCGTATTGACACACTGTCCTCCCTTCCGCTTGCCAACAGCCCCCGCCCGTCGTTTCTACCGACACCATTGATTCCTTCCGGTCTCATTCCGACCTGGGAGACTCGCAACCTACACACCGTACGTGTCGTAAGTATCTAGGCTCGGGCAGTAAATACATGCGGGTTGCGGTTATTGTTAAAGTTATAGCGTCTCAGTCTCGACCTCGTGGTACTCGACTGATATATTGATCTACCTGTTAAAGTTATAGCGTCTACGAGGCACAGTATTAGTGTCCATCGTCCATGAATACAGCTACATAAACGGCTTACCTCAGTCTCGACCTCGTGGTACTCGACTGAGGTGCCTCCAGTCTACGCGTGTCCGTCAAAGTCCGTTCGTACGTCACGTGTCCGTGTCTAAACTAGCGCCCGCGTCTCGGTCCCACCTCAACACTCCCCCTGGGCCGAGACGCGCATGTACTGTAGGTGTTTCTGTAACGTAGGTAAACTAAGGGCTTTCGTAAAAATGTCTGCGGGGTTCTCGGCTCCAGGAATATGAACAATCTTCAACAACTTACCACGGATTGCCTCTCGCAACCAATGGTACCTGATGTGCAGGTGTCTCACCCGCGAGAAGTTCGCGGATCGCGTCGCCAAACTCTCGCCCCCAGCACTATCCATCCGGATGACGATAGGACGTTCCACGGGGACGTAGATCTCATCCATGAAGTTCGCGATCCATACGCCCGTCTGCCCGGCGTGCACAGCGGCGATGTACTCGGCCTCGGTAGTCGACAACGTCACCACTTCCTGGCGGCGCGAGCTCCATGAGACAGGTCCTCCCGCCATCATCACTACGTGCCCGTGCGTCGATCGTCCCGTGTCTTGGCAGTCGCCCTGTGAAGCATCCGAGTAGATGGTGGGCTGTAGTCCCGCTACGTGGTTCCCGTCGTAGGTAATGCCGTGGTCGAGAGTCCCTCCGATGTAACGGAGGACCCGTTTGAGCGCACGCCAATGGTCATATGCAGGGTTCGCCATGAATCGGCTTAGCAGCTGGACGGGATACGCGAGATCAGGTCGGGTTGCAACGGCGAGGTACATGATCGCGCCCAAGGCCTCGCGGTAGGGGATCTTGTCCATCTCTGCTCGCTGCTCTGCGGTCGCCGGCTCAGAGTCCTTCGACAGTTTGGTGCCTGGTTCGAGCGGTGTACGGACTGGGTTTGAGTCCTTCATCCCGAACCGGTCAAGCACTCGCTCCGCGTACGCACGTTGCGACATGCGCATCGTCTTGAGTTCCCGGTCCCGCTCGATCAGGACACCAAGCATGTATTTGAACTCGCCTCCCCCGCTGAGCCGGTACCGCACAGCAAGCTCGGATCGTACGTTCGTCAGGCCAGTGATCGAGTCTGCGGCTTCACCGATGTCGTCCGTGTACGTCGTAGTGATCGCCAGTCCTTCCTCGTCGAACCTCGCACGTACGCACTCGTCCGCTCGCGAGCGCGAGAACCCGAGCTCCTGGTACGTCTTGTCGAGTTTCTTCCACCAATCGTTACCCGCCTGCATGCATCCATAGAGCCCTCGGACCATCCTACAAACATGAGTCGGGAATTCCTTAGAGACGTACCCGGCCGGTTGCTCCATGTATATTGTTTCCTCTGGGGACGCGTTGAGGTACGCTTTCTCCACGTCATCCTGACCCATCTCCATGTCTCGCACGACGGCGGTGGCACACACAACGCGCAGGGACTCGAACCGGACGACTGACGCGTGAGTCTCGAAGTAGTCGATGCCGGGGATTTGCTGGAAGCCCTTCGCCACCAGCCGTGCCTTCGGCTTCCATCTCCCCTCCGCCTCCTCATCCCCGTCAAACTTACGCGCATACACCCACTTGTTCCCAATGACGTTCATGTCCGGCGTACGAGGTACGAGTTCCCAAGCGTTGATCTTCGCTAGCCCGTTGATTTCACTATCCATCGAGGGCGTCCAGATCTCGGGTTGGCGGCTCGCCTCCTTGTAAGACTCCGGGGTCTTCCCTCCACGGTACCATCGTGTTTCTCCGTCCTGACCTGCGGGAGACGCCTCCGTGAACATCGCGATGTATGCGCCTTCTGGACTTTGGTTCCGGCCCACCCCTCCGTCGTCGTCTGCAGTCCAGGCCTCGCCTTTACTGCGCGCCGCCTGCTCTCTCGCATCCGACTCTTGCGACTCGCGCAACTTCTGGCTAGGCACCGCTGTCCTTGCGGATCGACGTGGGGCGTTCACCTCCTCGGGTAGCGCCAGAGCAGGTACGTCTTCGTCTCCAGGCCTCGGCTCCCCCGTGGCTGCTTGCCCCAGCTGCGCATCGGGTTCTTCGGCTGCAACCTCCTCGTCTGCATTGGGCTTCGAAGCCTCATTGACTGTCACTTCGAGAGGCGCGTCCTGGATCGCCAAGGTGCGGTGACCCGGTCCTTCCTCGAATATGACGTCGCGGCTACGAATGATTCGGCCAGACGCTGGGTCCCACAGGCGGTAGTTCGCGTTTTCGGTGTATCCGACGAGGATGCATCGAATCGACTTAGGGTCCAGTTTCGTCCGAGTCTCGTCAGGGACCTTCGCCCAGGCGACTGAGCCGAAGGCTCGCAGATGCGCAACGTTTGGCACATGCCCGAACCATCTCTCATATGGGGTCCGGCCCTTCTGGCGAGCTGAGCCGTTAGGTTCTCCACGTACGTAGCCGTTTTGTATGCCTCTCCCCACAAGCCTACTGGTAAGCCGCGTCGATGAGCATCGACCGGGCGTGGTCGCCTAGCGTTCGATGGCCGCGTTCTCCGACTCCATCCTGCTGAGGAGTGTAAGGCGTCGTCATCTCATGGATTATGCCATGCTCTCGGTTGAAGGCTGCCCATAGAGCGTTATTGAACTCGTTCCCGTTGTCGGTACGAATCCGGCGAAGCTTCTTCCTGTCTGGAGTTCAGCCATCGTTCGATACCCGCTGTACGAGTCGAGGGTCTCGGTCGCCTCCTTAGTCTTTAGGAGGTCGAGGACCTTGAACGAGGACCCTCCATCGTTGATCGTCATGCTGTAATAAGCGCCGCCCATCGACGGCTCGCGTGCTCGTCCGTCAGGTCGATGTACGCCCGTTCCAGGATGTCCTCCTCGACGCTGGAAGACTGAACGGCTTCCGCGCGTGCTTGCCTTGGATGCATCCTCGCACTTTCTAGCGGCAGTCCCCCGATGACCTCCATCCCAGTCACTGCTCCGGACTTGGCCATCTCCATTACCGTGCGCTCACTCGCATGTCCGAAACGCCGGTGCCAGGTGTGGACGTCGGCTGCTCTCGCGTTCGTCAACGATGCTAAGGCGTTTGGCTCTCCAGGCGTCCCGGTCCCGTTTGGCAGAGCCTGACCATCGATGCGAGTAAGGACAACCTCATACAAGTTGTTGCTCGTCATGTTCCCGACGAGAATCGCGTCACTTCCATCCTGGCTAGCGATGCGCATCTCGCCACCTTTGATCTGGATGTTGCATCCGCTCCCGTCAATTCGGGACAGCGACACGAGGTTGGCTGCCATCTCGGGTACGTGGAGTGCGTTGCGGAACGTCACTACTGAGCGTCGTCCTTCGATGGTCATCTCCGCGTGGACGCACCCGACTCCGATGATCGTGAATTCAGCGCCTCGCTTGGCGCTGCTTCCGGAGTGAGGCGTCAAGGGTAGGTATTCGGAGAAGGACGAGCGGTCGGTGAAGTAGTGGTGGCTCGCACCGGAATCGAGGTACGCGCGTATCGTTCCGCTAGGGTCAGTCAAGGCTAATGCGGGCGATATGGTGGCCATGAAGACATTGTAGTTCGGGACCCCACTGGGGATCGACGTAGAAGCGGCGTTTGCAGATGCATTTGAGTTCGTAGTGGGATGAGCCAGGTCGGCAGGCGATCCTCTCTTCGGACGCGGCGGCGACTTCCAGTTCGCCGGCTGCTGCCCCGCCAT